TTAAACTTCTTAACCGTACTCTCAAGTTTTGCAACCTTTTCTTTTAAAGTTTTGCAAGATTCACATTCACTTGAAGAACTTTCTGGTTTGTCAGCGCTTCTTTTGCCATAAAATTTGTTTTCTTGTTTCAACCTTTCATTATCTTTTTCCAGCTTTTCAAAATCATTTTCAAGGGTTGAAAGACGTTTCTTTAATGATTTGTTGGTTTTAGAAGCGCTAACAAATTCATCATAAAGCTCTCGAAGAGCTTCTTGCATCTTTTCAAAAGTGTAAGAGTCGGAAGAAGGGGTACATACCACTTGTACTTCGTCGACGTGGTCTTCGTGTGCCATGACACAGAGGTTGGCGGCTTCTTCCTCTTCTTGATCCGTTGACTCATCCCCGGAGTCACCACCCCATGAGATGTAGGCGCTTTGCATTTTGAAGCCAGGTCTGTCCTTCCCGCTTTTACCTTTTGGACACCTCGGCTTGATGTGGCCTATCTCGCCACAGCCATAGCACTTCGCGAGACCATCGTGCTTTCTTCCTTTCCGTTCAAATTCTTTCTTCATGAATTTGTGGAATTTCTTGCTGACCCGAACTCGTTGTCGTCATCGCTTGAAACTTCTTCCATGGTCTCCTTGGTTTCTTTCAGCGCTATTCCCTTCTTCTTTTGCTCATCCAAAGATGGGGTTAGAATTGTAGATTCATAAGTTTTGAGATTACCTCTTAACCCGTTGATGGTGACATTTGAGACTCCGATGGATTTATAGATTGCATCTGCCTTTGATCTCCATTCGGGTGTGAGACTCCGCAGGATTTTCCTCACAAGGTCCTTGTTGGCGTACGTCTTCTTGAGAGCGTGAAGTTCATTGATGATCTTTGAGAACCGATCGAACATTTCATCGATCTTTTCGCCTTCCTTCATCCTGAACATCTCGTACTCCTGCGTCAGGAAGTCAATTTTGGCTTCCCGAACTTGGTCCGTACCTTCATATGTGACCTCCAGCTTGTCCCACATTTCTTTGGCAGTGGTGCAGCAAGAGATCTTGTGATAATCATCTGGGTTGACCGCGCAGTACAGCATGTTGATCGCCTTGGCATAGTTCTCCACCTTTTTGATGTCCTCGGCATCAAATTCGTCCTCGGTCTTTGGGACGAGTTTTTCACCGACCTTCTTCATTGAAATCTCTTCGCCATTCTTGATGACCAACCACAACTGAAAGTTGGTTGAGCGGATATAAATTCTCATCCGCTCTTTCCAATATGTGTAGTTGGTGCCATCAAAAAGCGGTGGCATAGAGGTTGATTGACCTTCTCCAATTCCTGCATAAAGATTTCTAGAAGAAGAACCCATGATCGCTTTACTCTCAAACGGTTAAGTTTGGACGTGAGTTAGGCTCTGATACCAATTGTTAGAATAATAGACCAATGATAGAGGGGGGGGGTGAATAGCGTTTGATCGTAGAAATCGCAGGAATTAAAAATTTAAGAGAGAAGTAAAGAAAAGAGTAAGAGGCACACCGAATTTTACCCTGGTTCACCACAACTTGTGGCTAATCCAGCCTCCCGAGAGACTCTCTCGAGCTACACTACTATCTCGCTAAGCTTAACGGTGCTTAACAAACCCTTACAACTTGAGAGTTCGAGTCGCACGAACCTCAACGAATCCTTCAAAGGAAACAGCCCTTCCTTTGAATCAACCGAGAGAAATACTTTTTCTCAACGTGTCTAAGAACACAACTACACTCAAGAACGAGACTCTCTTATAGAGTAGATTATGAGTAAACTAAGTACGCTCAAGAACAACTCAATCTTCACACAATTTGGCTCTACAAAGCTATGGAAAATGATGTTATTTGAATGCAATGAAAGTATGAATATTGTGAAGTGAATTGGTGAGAAAAGCAGACCCAAACACCCCTTCTTATAGTGCCAAAATAGGCTCCAACGGACCAATGCATTAAAGGGGTGATTGACTTGATTTAAGGGATTGAATAAATTTGGGATCTGCAGGATATTGGCTTCCCATCGATGTTTGGGACTTACCCATCGCTGGTAAGCCAATTTTCCTTCAGTTTTGAAGTCAACGGTTACCTACCCATCGATGGGTACAAGCTTCCCATCACTGGGTGGGAGGTTGACTTCCAAACAAGGAAAGAATCAACCTTAAATGACCTTCAACGGTCATCCCTTCCCATCGATGGTTTAGCCTTACCATCGCTGGGCAAGGTTGTTCTGCCTTGTGTTGATTTTGCACCAAGGCTTTAACAGCAATGGGTAGAACTTCCCATCGCTGTTTGGCATGATTCTGGAAGTTGGTTTGGCTAAGGGACCGCTTACCCATCGATGGGAAGATCTTCCCATCGCTGGGTGGATGGTTAGCCAAAAACCCAATGGTTTTTGCCTTAACCACGGCCTAGCCGACCAATGCAAAAACCGACCGAAAAATCCAAAGTTCTCCAAAATAAAAACCAAGTGTTTAAAACACTTGTTTGATGTATATGGCTAAAAAATCAAGTGAGACACTTTAAAAACCACGTCATTTGAGTGAAAACCACGGCTAGCCAAGTTTACGCCGTTTTGAATGATTTTTGCCAAACGACCAAAAGCGAAAGATGGTTTTCAAAGTGTTTTTGTTGGAGAACCTTTTGAGCATGCCAAAGAGTGAAAATCAATCATAAAAAGTTGAAAACCACTCGGTTGGTTCGGACGCCAAAAACCAATGCCGATAACCGAAAGCCGAACGCCGGTTTCTGAAACCCGAATGCTGGATGGCTTGGTTTTTGGTTTGGGCGAACACCAAGTGTTTTTAATGACTTAAAAAAGTTTGAAAAACATTTTTATGATGTGAGAAATGCAATGAAGGATTTTAGCCTAAAGAGCTAAGGTGTAAAGATTGGGTCGGTCTTGATCACAATGAGGACCGACTCAATGAAGCTAAGACTAAGGTCTGCGTTCTTGGTCTTCGTTTAGCTCTTGTTCTTGTCTTCCTTCTTCGCCTTGTATATTCAATGTTTGACTTGATCACGGCGGTTTGGCATTATCAAAACCTGTCATAAAAACAAACACGACTTTAGTACAAAAACGTGATAAGCCCGTGTTTCAACACGGAGTAGCAGTGGCGGCCGGAGTGTGGCGACGGCGACTAGCGGCGGCTGTGACCGGATTCCGGCGCCTGGCGACAGGCGGCGGCCGGTGGAGGTGACCGGCGACCGGCGGCGGCAGCAATTAGCGGCTGCGGCGGCCAGCGGCAGGCGGCGGTCAATGCTGTCAGTCAACAGTCAAAGTCCAGTCAGCACCCTTTCCTTTGACTTTTTTTTGGAAAAAAAATCAAAGTGTTGAAAAAATATGGTGAGCTTTGCCTTACACTTTGGTGAGCTTTGTACTTGTCTTTGGCGAGCTTTGCAGTGACCAGTGGTGAGCTTTGTGTCATCTGACCGAAGCATGTCATCTCACCGTAAGGTGTCATCTCCCTGGAGTCAATCCCATATATATATATATATATATATATATATATATATATATATATATATATATATAATTTAGCGCCCTGCCAGTCTCCATAGATAACCCAATATTTATCTTCTTATTCTTGGAGTATACAACGCAGCACCAGCCTCCATAAATAATTTAGGCCAGGATTAAGGGCCCTGCCAGGCTGCCCTTTGTCAAGGAATCCTCAATCAAGCAAATGGATGCAGGTCTCTTTTCCTCAAACCTCTTCCATCATCATGTGTGTGTATATATATATATATATATATATATATATACATATATATATATATATATATATATAGGTTTGGGATCAAATAAGAAAAAGATCTAATGAAAGAAATAAGAATAAATATTAACCGTTGGATCCTCTCTATCTGTGATTTCCCATCTAAACCGTAGCAAGGGTAGAAAAGAACTTTACCACTCTGGGCATTATCGTTCCACCTTCTTCTCCGTGAAATTAGCCCACGTCCCTGCCCACTCTCAGCCCCGGTTACGACGCATTCAGTTACCGGAAGACATTTATTGGTATGGATTCCTCTTTAATTCTTCCGCATACACGTCTGTGTCCTCCTCCCTTCGGCGTAATACCCTCAGGAACTACCGGCGTGCCCCCTTCTATTAACCTATGGAAGTTTACGGAGACAACGGATACGCGATGGAATTTCACTCACAACCAGGTACCCTTTGAATTCAACCCTGTTTTTTTGTAATTTTTCGTATCAGTTAATTATTATCTCTTTTTTTTTGGAAAGAATATAGTATTTGTGAGATTCAAAGTTTAGTAATTGTGTGAATTTCGAAACTCTGGGTTTAAGAACAAAGTACCAATCCCAAATTCTGAATGAATTCAACCCTCTTATTTTGTAATTTTTCCTATCAGTTAAAGATTTATCTTTTTTTTTGTTGGAAAAAATTTAGTATTTCTGTGATTGATAATTTAGTACTTGTTTGAATTTTGAAACTCTGGGCTTAAGAACAAAGTACCAATCCCAATTTTGAATGACGCATTTCGCCAATTAATGCATACACAGAACGTAGTAATGCATATTCCCATCAAATCTATGCACACTATAACCATCCTATCTCACATGTCCCACAAAAAAGAAGCAATTCTCTCCAAGTATTTAGCCATTCCTTTCCCAAATCTCACTACTAAGCTGTGAATACATTGCTTCATATTAAAACAGTTACGTGCCACACACCGTTATATTGCTCCACTCGATTGTAAGTCTCCTTCCACATATGAATGACCCGTTGAGGTTTAAAACTAATCTAAAACTCCACACCTAAGCTGAGATTTTAATGCATTCCTAAGATGTTCTATATAGGTGTCATCCTCAAATTTTGGTATATTTGCTTGACTTGAATTGCAATATTCCTATGCTCCTACTACTTATGTTATTTCAATATCATGGCTTCACGTTGCAGCTGTAATATTAAAATAGTGCTGAATTATTTACTTTTATTCATACAGCTACCCCCACAAAGTACCAGGAAGTGCCAAATGAAGGCAACAGTTCTTATGCCGAACGTCATTGGGTCCCGCAATGCCCTGACAACTACATTCCAAAGGTCGGCATGGTTTTCAAGGACTTGGATGATGCTATTCGTTTCTATCGTGCTTATGCTGCTGAGGCGGGGTTTGATGTGCGCAAGACTACCACTACAAAGAAAAAGGGCTCCGTTGTTTGGCAATATGTTGTTTGTAGCCGCGAGGGTAAAAAACATGTCCCCACCATCTCCCACAATGATGCATCACATGACATTGGACAGGCTGCATTATCTAAACCTGGGAGAAGAAGACGCATTTCTAAGCGTATAGGCTGTATGGCACGTGTTGCATTTCGCATCCTTGGACATGATGGTTACGTTCTCAGCATATTCGAAGAACAGCACAACCATCCTCTCACTTCTCTCCCCTACAGGCCATTCTTGA